ATCCATTTGAATGGAAATGTGAAATGGAAGTTCATCACCAAACTCTAAGGCTGGGAAACCAGATGTGAAGGAGAAAGATTGATCCCAGTATCCCAGTTTACCGTTGCACCCCTAGTCTCATTACATTTGTTAAGAAAAATTTTTTTTGTTAAGTATATAGTTCCACATGTGTGAATTCATAGTTTTGATGCCTTCATTGTGAATTGTCAATTTTCATAGTCATGAAAATAAAGAAAACTCTTTGAAATAGGGAGGCTTAATGGTGTTAATAAAATCCAAATGTCACCTTTTGCATTATCAAATGTTGAAACACATAAAAAAAAAAATAGTACAACGGCGGAAAATTGTTCTGATATTTCCCTCTCAACTCATGAGGAAAACCTCCTCTATGTCTGACCGCTTTACGTAAAAAATCCTCAAGTTTGTTTGCCAATCAGCGTTGATCAACCAGCTTCATGACCTCCCCTAACTCCATAGACCCCTTAAGATATTTAGACTCACTTGACTTTTTATATTTTGTTGTGTAGATGGACAGACAGGTCAGTATGTTAAGTAAAAAAAAAAAGTTCCTATTTAGATTAAAACATCTATTTTTCCAAACAATACCACAGTGTTCAAGGGGTATGTTGTGGAGGAGGGGCAACTTATGTCAGGGGGCACATACAGTAACCCTTGGGGACACAACTGGTATCACTTGGGTTTCAACAAAACAATAAATGTTTTATAGCTCTATTACTATTATGTATGTATATGTAGTCTTAATTTGGATGACATCTTTAGTAAGGGTATATAATTTTTTTTTAAGACATTGCTTACAAAACATGTTTTTTCTTGTAAGCCACTTTGTTGCCATTTACTTTTCCTAATGGGTTCTCTAAATGCTGCCAAACAAACAATTTAAAAGTGATGCAGGCCATTTCAATGCTAATTTAGCCAGACAAAGTCATGCTGGCTGCTCCTTGACATCTGCTTCGTCAGACAGATGTCTCTATTTTAGACATAAGTTGACATTTTAAGATCACAAATCTTTGAAGGAATTTATTTGATTCTGACCACAAAACCTGCAGCCATAAAAAGTTTTAATTAAATAGAATTGGACTTAGTATGTTTAGAAAAATACTAATATTTACTTAAGAGCAAAATAAAGCCCCTCATAATCATAAAGATTGTAGGAAAAAGATACACACTTTAGTTTTTTTAAACAAATACCAATCTAAAAAGTGTGGCATGTGTTTTTAGCCCAGATTCACCTTAAAATAGATCCAATACAATCAATTTAAATGATAGTATGGCCTGATCAGAAACCTCTGATTTTGCAGATGCATAAATTTAATGCAATTTTAATGCATAAATTAAAAGGCTGTTTGCTGCCTCTGCCATACCTCAACTTAAAAAAAATGGAGATAAGCATCTCACTGCAGAGAGATTTGAAACCTCTTAAGCCCGAGTATGCCTTTTCCTGAAAAGGCATACTCATTCTTCATAAGTTAAATAAAAAGCCAAAATAGAAAAACAGATGTTTATGTACAAACTTCTCGCTTGTCCTGTAACAAAAGAAATATCCATAATAAACTGTAACTACAACTTTTTGGCTACAGATGTAGGAAGTGTGTTGCCCATACAATAAGCAACTGAGAAGTTATAGATGTTTAGATAAAAAAAAAAAAAAAATCATAACCTTTGCTGTGCCATTTTGGAATAGTTTAGCGGAATTGCTAAAATTTGGAATTTATTCTTGAAATTTAAAAGAATTGGAATGCTGTTATATATTATAAAAAGAGCTACTCTTCCAAAAATCAGAAGTTTAATTTTTTTTTAGCACTCTGTATTTACACACTGTAAATACACAATATATATACAAAGCTAAGTTGAAAAAGATGCATGAGGAGGCATTGTCGTATCTGAATAACATTTGCCCAATCAGGGAGCTTCATACCTCTTTGTAAAGCCTGCTTTCTACAGAATTCAATGATATACACCAATTTGAGTTAGACAAAAGCCAAACAGTAGCAGAGGCCTTTGCGATTTACACACAGTAACATATTCCAAATCTGAGCATGTTGTAGGAACATTGTACAATTACTTATTTATTTCAATTCAGTTTAGTTCAATTAAATTAAATCAAAAAATAAATAAAATTTGATGTTTTTCAATGCATAAGTTTTTTTTTTTTTTATCAAGTTATTGAATATGTTGATAGCTGTATGCAGAAAGGACCTTCTGTAGCTATTCATCTTGCACCAGATCTAAATTTGCCATTGATTTAAGACCCCTGTTGTTGTTTAATAGTGTTCTGAAGAGGAGGCTCTCAGTTTTACATAATGTTCTTCATTTTATGAAGTATTCTTTGTACAAATCATATCAAGAATTCTCGAGTTCCTCTATAACTTCGAGAACAAAGCTTGCCTTCTGTATCAGCTTGTTAAGCTCTTAAGTCCTTTGCTCTGATGCTGTTACACCAGTGGATGATGGCAGAAGAGATCACGCTCTAAAGGACCAAAGCTTTCATAAGAAGCACAGTTTACCTTCTTGTTGACTGCTTCACAGTTGTGTCTCCAGAGTCTGTTTTCCAGTTGAACACCAAGGTATTTATACTGTTCCTCCATCTCAACCTCTACTTTGATCATGTAAATAGAATTCAAATTCTTCCTGTTTCTAAGTGTGTGTTCGTCTCTCAGTTAATCAGCTACAAGCCTATAATTTTGTAAAATAGCTACAACCCCCCCCCCCCCCCCCCTTTTTTTTTCTCAATTGTTTATTTATTGAGTTTTCATCTTGTTACACCAACACAACATTCTGAACACATAGGTAAGCTGAAAGGGAAAAAATAAATAATTGAAAATATTAAGGGTGTATACGTAGGTTGGGAGGAAAAGAAACTTAATGTAACAAAAAAAATAGTTAAACACAATATAAAACATAATAAACGTAAACACAATAAAATAAGTCAAGTTTATTGTTGTTATCAATGTTATCATAAAAAAAGACAGGTAAGCACGATTACAAGTCATGTGTTAGGTCAAGATGGGATATCACATAGATGGAAGTCAGGTGATGATCTAGGGTCCCAATGTTTTAGCAAAAAGATCTTCTTTACCTTTCAAGTGGTAAGTATAGTGCTGCAGTTGCATTGTTTCATTCAATACTGTTTTAAATAAATTAATTGTAGGTGCTGTAGCTTGATTCCAGTTGAGCAGTATAAATATTTTAGCTACATAAGCAATTATTCCAATCCTTTTATCCGAGATCGGGTCCAGAGTATAATCTGAATCTGTACCAAAGAGATACAATAGAGGTGAGAGTTTAAATTGAATTTGCAAGAGGTTGATTTTAAGACTATGTACTGCATTCCAGAAATGTTTGAGTTTTTTGCATTTCCAAAATACATGGATAAAAGAGCCATTATAGGTTTTACAGCGATGACATTTACAAGACGCAGTAGGATACAATTTGCTAAGATGTACTGGTGTTAGGTACATTCTGTGCATGAATTTGTAATTTTGCTTGATAATTTTGTTACAAGATAAGGAAACAAAAGCATTAACACATATTTTGGTCCAAAGCTCATCATCAAGGTCTTGTTCTAGAGCTTTCTGCCTTAAGTGACATCAAGGAGGAGCTATTATAGACTAGTAATACTCCGTAGATTGCTGAGGTCTTCCCTTTCAGCTTTGTAGAGTTTACCATGATTTCCTCAATTGTTGAAAAAGTAAAGGACATTTGCCCTGACTTTTCCAATGTGGTTATATAATGGTGAAGCTGTAGATATTTATAGAAGTTTGGTTTGGGATGTCAAATTTTGATCTGAGGTCTACAAAAGATTTTAGAGAGCCCTCCTCAAATAAATTCTGGAGTTGATGTATGCCATGTTCTTTCCATTTAGTAAAAAGATTCCCTATCAGGGGTGGAAAATCTGGCTTAGAGAATAGAGGAGCATTGTAGAAATTATGGTATTTGATCCACAGAATCTCTTTACATCTTGCCAAGCCTGAAGGTTGTTTGCTATTACTTATGTTCAAGATATTGATTTTATAGCTTTTGTGTTGTTGATGAATGGCATAGTGATGAGTGAGGTGGGACAACAGAGTTCCCCCTCAATTTCTGTCCAATGAGCTGCTGTCCGGTTCTGTGTCCAACTAATTATGTCCTTAGTCTGTGCTGCCCATTAATACAGCTTAAAATCTGGAAGACCCAGTCTACCCTTTTCTTTAGATTTTGTTAGGGTTTTTAAAGAGATCCTGGGTGTGGATTTTTTTCATATAAAATAAATTATTATTTTATTGATTGACTGAAAGAATAGTTTATTAAGGTAACATGGTAAGGACTGAAAAAGATAATTGAATCATGGCAATACATTCATTTTAATGTCATTTATTTGCCCAATAAAAGAGATGGGAAGCATCTTAAGCCCAAGGGTCCTTGGGCTTAAGGGGTTACAGAAAAAGGAATGTCCAATTTTGTTTGGATGTGCTGATAACTTACATGGAAGCATTTGACAAAAATAACCAAAAAAGCAAGTTATTTCTTATTGGAGAGAAAGAGATAGTAAGAAACATAAAACTGACTAAAGACAGATACCAAATAGCACCACCCTAAAAACACAGCAGACGGTACCAGCAAGAGGGTGATGAGCGAGTGACTTTGTGTGTGCTTGCTTGAGAGTGTGCATGGTAATAGTTGTTTGAGAGGAAACATGCATGTGTTAAACAGCATGAGCCAATGATGTCTGGCATCACAGGATCAAAGGGTTCAGGGCAGTCATTACCTCTTCTGTTGAAACATTAAGGAAAATGGCTTTTTTTATGAGAGTGCCAAATGTTTCGCTGCTCTTTGTGTCTGTCCTTTAGTGTTAATATTAAAATGCTGCCCACAAAACCTTAGAGTGGAGATTAAGAAAATTTATATAGAGATTTTTTTCCTATTACTTTTACACTTCACGTTAATTCACATAAAAATACAAAAAAAAAAAAACTATAATATTATCTTCTTCCTTTCTATAGAGATTGGTAGAGGCGGCAGAAGAAGCGCACCTACAGCATGAAGAGGATCCAGACCTGCAGGTGAGTCAGTGCATACATTGCATATGTTTTTATGTTTGTATTGTCTCAATGCATTTTAATAAACATGTTCATTCCTTATCCTTTGAGGATGAAAAATATTATCCACATTGATATACACAGGTAGAGCTTTAGGTATGAATTATTGGTGAGGATGAAAGATTTTATAGTTCACCTCAAAGGTGATTATCGCTATTTGTTTTAAAATGAAATAAAAAGAAAACTGTTCCGCAGCGGCTCAGTGGTTGCCACAGCAAGTCATTAAGACTTGCTTGTCAGAATTGGCAGCTGGGAAAGAAAGCTTATTGGTGCATATTCAACAACAAAAAAATCTATTTTTTTCAACTATGATCAGTTCAAATGAACCCCTAGGTAAGAAAAAGGTTCAAAGAAGATATGCACACATGCACACTCAAGCATGTGTGACTTATGAAACCCCCCTCCAAACAAAACTTGCCATCAGTCCTGTGTCTCTGTGCTCTCATATTTGATACTTTATAGGGTCTATGCTCTGAAAAAAAAAAAAAAACATGTTGTGAGGACCGACTGCTCCATGAGGGGCCTAATGCCTTTTCCCAATGGGGGAATTGCTATTTTAGGGTCTGGGGTCACATTTAAGGCTGAGTTTTGGTTGGGATTAAGGCAGGGGTGTTGCTAGGCACAAAGCTTTACTGGGGCACTGGCCCCCTACCACATATGCCCCTCCTTCCATACACAAATACAGACAAGCACACTGCCCCACCCTGATACATTCCTACCAAAATTAGTTTACTTATTAATGAGTGTAAGAGCATATTTATTTTAACAACAGGAACATTTTCAACATTGCAGCAATGAAAATAAGACATCA